TCTTGTTATATTACTTATGTTTATCTTTGTAAGCTGCTTTAAATAGTATTCAACATATAACTGATATAGTCTCCCCCACCCATCCCTTTTTTGAAGATTAAAATTAGCTGAGGTTTAGATTTTTAAAAAAGGGGGACAGGGCAGAGTCTTCTCTCCTGACTGGCGGTTTGGCAATGTCCTGCAGTAGATTTAAAAAAAAAAAAACAAAAAAAAAACCAAAAAACAAACAAACAGAAAATAAGTGAAGAAGGATGTGAAAGGAATGACTCCAAGTGTACTCCAGCCAAAGTTGCACCCTTTCCTAGAATTTAACACTGGCAAGTTGTATAAAGCTTACACCAGTGGTTTTCAAATTACGGGTTGTAACCCAGTACTTGGTCTCATTGCTGCAAAATGATCAGTTGACCAGCGGGGGCACTAAGGCAGGCTACCTGCCAGTCCTAGCACCACTGACTGCACTGCACCCCAGCAGCAGCTGGCAACAGGCCCAGCTCCTGGGAGGAAATGGGGGAGGGGCAAACAGGGCCTGTACAACTGCCCCTACTGAGCACTAGCTCTACACCCCCATTGGCTAGGAATCTTTTACAGGCTTCTTCTGGATGGCAGCATGGTCTGCAGTGCCAGGAGAGGCAGGAAGCCTGCCTTCGCACCCTCACTACACCACTGACCTGGAGCCGCTCAAGGTAAGCCCCTCCAACTACAGCCCTCACACCACCAAATCCAGAGCCTCCTCTTATGCCTCAAAGCACTCATCCTCTGCCCCACCCCAGAGCCCACACTGTAGTACAGTGGTTCTTAACCTTACTGCAGCCTGCACCCCTTTGGTTCTCAAAATATGTTCTCGCGCCCCTTATTAAAAATCATTGAAGTAGGTCAGGTCTTTAAACCCAAGATATATCATAAAAATGTGGCTTCTCTTGCACCCCCAGAAAGGGCATCTCGCACCTCCAAGGAGTACGTGCACCCCAGGTTAAAAACCACTGCTCTAGTCAAATTATGTTGAGTCATGGGCATCAATTTTCTTGAACTGGGTCACAGGAAAAAAAGTTTGAAAGCCACTGGCTTTCATTATTATAAAATGTTTGTAACAAAATGGTGACAGTCACTGCAGTCTTTTTGTTTCTGGATTGCTTCTTAAAACTTGATGGGTGTTAAGTGAACATACAGGCCCAATTTTTCAGTGTACAAATCTAGATTTTCTTCCACAATCTGCTAGGTCTGACAAGATAATTAATTGAACTTGGTTGTAGATAGCATATTAACTTGAACTATGCTTCATTCACTGGTTTCAGTGCGCAATGAGCTACAGATCTAGCAGATCAGGCCTGGGACTTGAAGAGATATGGATTGTACTCCTGGCTCTGTTGTATCCTCCATGTCTGACTTAGCAGATGTCCTTAATTATCTGAATCTCAGACTCCACAACTGTAAAATGAGTTTAATAATGCCAACAACTCCTCTCCCCAAGTTAAACTGTGATTTTAATGTTTGTAAAGCACTTGAAGTTCCTAGGAGGGAGTTCAAAGGATCAATATGATTTTATGTTCACCTGCTCATTGTTCTGGGGAGAAAAAAAAAAAAAGCTAAAACAAACAACCTGTTTATAGTTTCAGGGGTGAGAACCACACATACACACAAGAATAGGAATGGCTTACTCCATCTAAAATACAATTCAACTTATAAAAGCAGAGATGGTAAATGAAACAGATTGGTGATTATGAACAAGTTTCACTTCTTAACCACATCATTGGCCCGTAAAAAGGTTTACAAATATCTGACAGTTTTCTTATTCCTTCCTCCAGTTTACTCCGGCAGACAATAAAAACATTAGAGACCACTTATTTGCCGGTAGAATCTAAATCACATACATGGCTCTCTGATCAACCAGCTCCTTGAACCTGAAACGTGGCAAGTACATTTTATGAAAGCAGCCACGTTTCAGCTTCACTAAGCCGTAATAGGATATATACACTCAGCTAGAATACAGTAGGAGTGAGTAGCGCTGCTAATAAGAACTTTATAAAGTTTGTCACTTATTCAGAAGAATATTTAATGTATAACAAAAAAGAGAAAAATGTCATTGACTGATGCTGCTTT